CCTGGAAGACACAGAACAGTTTGGATTGAAAGGAGATGCAGTTATTCTGAAATCAGCAGATGGACCCTTCCTCTGGGTCTCAGAGTCTCCTCTTCTCCACGGCAGGGGTGCAGCCTGTCCCCCAGCCTCCCACCGATGCTGCCTCCAGGACCCAGTGCCTCCACGTAGTGCTGAGGATAGACCGAAATGGTTTCCCAGTGCCTGCCGCCTACTTCTGCTTATTTAGCCACAGAGCAGGCTCTTGACTAAAAGCTCAGTGTTGGCCAGTTACAGGTTATTTTGATGTTGCAGATGAATTTCTGCCTCTGGTGCCCACTCTGTTTCCCATGCACACACACGCTCACTGAGGGGCCCCTCTGGGTCCCGCGGCGCTCCCCATCAGGTAGAGGAGGCAGTAAGAGGAAGAAAAAGTTCTTGGAGCTCACAGGGACTTAGGGACCATCTAGGCCAGGTCCATGGCACCCTCAAGGACCTTTGAATGGGCTTCAGGGGTTCTGTGAGCTCCCTGAACTCGTTCGAGTATTTTTCCTGGAATAAGATTCCACAGACATCATCAGATTTTCCTAGGGGTCCACAGCCATCAAAAGGTGATCCTTCAATTTACAAATGAGAAAAGAGAAGCCCAGAGAAGGGCACCGACTTGCCTAGGGTCACAGGACAGAGCTAGGATTTGACCTTCTTCTCTAAGCAGATAACAGAATCGAACATACTTTGCAAAGTATCACAAGCAGCACTTACTATCAATGACCTCTGGGAGGCTAATGAATCGAGCTGTTGGCGCTGGGGGCCCTGACATGGGGGCTCCTGAGGCTGCACTGTGGCGGCCGGCCAGGGGCTGTCAGGAGCCCAGGGCCCACAGCGTCTACTCACAGCCAGAGGGAGGAGCGTGGGTGAGTTGGATGCCCTCCCCCAGGGTCTTAGGGAGACCAGCCAAGTCGGGAGTCAGCAGTCCCGGCTCTCATTCTCACTCTGTGGCTTATTCCCTGCACCTTTTGGGGAAGGAACTGGTTTTCTGCCTCAAGACCATCCCAGCCTAATGTGCTCACAATAACTTCTGTTACCCCGAGCTCCTTTCCAACGGAGCAAATTCAGCCGGCTCTCTGCCTGTGACATCCGAACAGCTCCCGAAAACTCAGCGTCTCCCGTGAGGGTGAGAAGAGGCAGCCAACTTTCCCTACCCAGCCCCATTTGCAGGTAGAACTCTTAGTCTTCACTCCTGCCTTGGAAATATCTTATTATCTAGCCACATCTTAGTTTGGCCTCTTCCAAGGCACTTTGGATCATCTCAACAATCCTTTCAACCACCCTACTAGATTGATATTATTAATTACCATTTTACAGGGAGGAAATTGAAACTGAGCAGTTGGTTGGCTTGTCCAAGGGCACAGAGCTGCCGGAGGGGGCACTGGGCAGAGTCTAGATCATGTCGTCTTCTCCTACCTCTCCCTACCGTGGGGTTCCATGAGCTGCTTGCTTGCGGTCTTTGCATCCCCTGCAGTCAAGATGTCAAGGGGCCTAAAGCACGGACTTTGTGCAGGTAACAGCCTTAAATGTGCGAGGCGCCTGTGGTCCCTCCTCCCGGTTACCGCACAGAAGGAGAAAGCCTGGCTCCTGCCTGCCATCTCTAGCCGGCCGAGCCAGTCACAGTGGCGACAGCCCAAGTGAACATCACAGAGCTCACAGAGCTGTTAGCTGCAGAGGCCTTGGCCAGGGGCGGCTGGGGAGTGGGCGGCTGGGCCACCGGCATGGACACCCGGGACTGGCAGGGCCACCCACCACCTCCTGGCTCAAAAGTGCCTCTTTGCTTAGAGGCCCACAGACACCACTGTGGAAGGGAGGCCAATGGTCCTCCTAGATGGGCTCTGCTTCCATGGGGCTCGGACCCTGAGAGGCTGGGGTTTTCCCTGGGAGCCAGCTGGAGTGTTAGGGTAGGTCCTGGACCCACAGCACTGCCCAGGGAGAGGCAGAGTGTCATGCACTGTTTGTTCACCACCCAGCCTCTTGGTTGCTAGAAGCTTTTCATTTCCCCCTTCTAATCCAGATGGCCACCATTGCACCCCTCATTCCCTCCCTAGCTTACGTATTAGTATATCTGGTCCTCGGTCCCTGGGACAGACATTTTATTACAGGTACAAATATAAACAGATCATTTTTAGTCACTGTAAAGTGCCACAAACACCATTCACTGACTTCTCGGCTAAAAAGCACAAACCCAGCAGAGACACTTGAGCAGCAAATAAGAATCCACCAAAGAAAGGGGTGGGGGCTCCAACTAATGCTCCTCCATCCTAGGTACCACCCATGAAGTCGTTCACCTCTGCACAAAGCTAAGGAGGTGCAGCCGGGTGTTAGAGAGACCTCCCTAACTCCTACCAACCCAGCCGCCTCACCCTTCCCAACCCCCCAGGTCACCTTCTATAAGGGACAGGAGCTGGGGAATGGGGCTGCCGGACTCTTGTTGAGATGAAGCAGGGGGTCCTTCGGCATTGGCTGGGCTCGTTTCTTTCACCTTCAGTGTGGATCCCGAGGCCGCCTCCAGAGCTGTGGCTGCTTCCATGCTGGGCCACCCCAAAGCTGCGCTCCAGCGGGAGATTTTCACTGGTGGTGGTGAGGGAGGGGCTAAGCACCTGCTCTCCAGCCTGGTCTCCCGGAGTTCCAGCCACAGGCTTATGTAACTGGCCTGGCCTTCTCCCATCCGGCTACTCTCAGCAGAAGGGCTGAAGCAGGGACTGGGGAAGAGAGGGACATCAGACAGCAGCCCAGAATAGCCGCAGGAGGACTGAGGGGACAGCCCTCGTATAACACTGCGGAGGGAGGGGAGGGCCTGAGCTTCTAACAGCTCCCCTGACTGCACACACAGACCACACAATGGGGCCCTGGCTCAGCAGGCTTAGCAGATTCACAGGCACACCTTTAAGGGCTCCTTCTCTCTCTGCTCCACAGTCAGCGAGCTGTAAGGTCTTGCCAACTCGCCCTTTTCAGGGGTCTGTCCCCATCCCCTCCAGCTAAGCCCCTAGTGGCGGTGGAAGGCAGAGTCCGTGCTCTGGAGCCAGACTACCTGGCCTCACGTTTGGCTCCATCACCCACCAGCTTGTGTGACTTGCCACACATCACATCTCTCTCGGGTCTGCTTCCCCACCTGTAAAACGGAGAGGATAATGACCGTAGGGTTGTCGTGAGGATTACGAGAGGTAATCTGTGTAAAGTGCTTAGCAGAATGTAGCTAAGTGCTCCATAAATGTGAGCTATTTTTAGGTCAGGCCGGCATGTGGCCCTCTGAGATAAAGCACCAGCAAAGTGAGAGGCGGCCCGGGGCAGGAGGCCAGAGGACGTGTGTGTGACTTCTGGTTGTTCCACTCACTCATGAGCTAGGTGACCCTGGGCAAATCACTAACTCTGAACCCCAGGGATGATGCTGCCATGACTGTGTTGAGGAGAAAATGGTAAGTGGAAGGAAGTGGCCAGACCACTGTGTTAGTTACATACTAAGGGTCCTGCATGATGTCTCGGCTCACCAAGCCATCATTCCTTATGTTCTGTACCCTGCATCTAAGTGGTTTCCTATCATATCCTCACTTCAGTAGCTCCAGAAACCAGCATCCCCTCCCGTGTGTGTGTGTGTGTGTGTGTGTGTGTGTGTGTGTGTAAAGACGTTACTTTTTAGAGCAGTTTTAGGTTCCCAGTAAAGTTGAATGGAAAGTACAGAGTTCCCACATACCCCCTCCTCCTTCCCACCACCCTTTTCTTTTATGGAAAAAAAAAGATGAGTGTGGTTGAATGAATGGGCTCTTTACACTCATTTTTCCCCTTTAGCCCTCAATTTGGGGGCAGAGTTGATAGGATCCCAGGCGCCTGCGCTCATATGGGGTGTGAAAGCTCCTCTTTGCAGCTCGTATCGGGGCTGAGGGCCAGGACAGCCTGCAGACACACTTCCGGCCCAGGAACCTATTTATCAGGAGCTGGGGTGGCGGAGGAGGGCGCTACGGAGCTTGGCCTCTGAGGCCGAACTCGTGCCACTTCGGGACTAGTGCGAAGGCCTCTGCCCGGTTTCTCTTGCCTGACCCAGCCCAAGCCCTTATAAGCACAGAGTCCCCACACCAGGTGGTATGAAATTGGCCTAGACTTTCAGTCTGAGCCCGTTGTTGCAATAAAGGTATAAAAGAATCAAGTTAAAAATGCAGACTCCTAGGGTCTGTCCATTACAAAGTCTAATTTAATGGGTCTGGGTGGGGTCCAGGAATCTGCATTTGAAAAAGCAACCTAGTGATTCTGGTGCAGTCAGTCTTTGGACACTAGGCTGGCTAGACTTCCTGAAAATAAAACTACCATACACCATCTCCTGGGGGAGGAACTCCTCGGCCAGAGAGCCGGCTCCTTCAGAGCAAGCTCTTCTGCCTTGTCGTCTTCAGATCATGATGTCAGAGTAAGTATTCATTCGAAATGTTCCCCAGGATGGCAGGCTGAGAAGCAGTCTTCAAGGCTTGGCTAAAGGCTCAAGGGAGGACGGGAACCTCTCCTAAAAGAAATATTTGGGGAGAAAGGAAAGCCACAACTCTTTGAAAGGTCCTTCAGTGAAATGGACCAGGCAGGACTATGAGCAAGAGCCGCAAGAGAAATCTAAGAGAGGCAGCTGGGAACGTACTGAACTTAAGCTTTCAGTGTTGTCACTTGTCAAACTTGCCTGAGGGAACAGCTAATTTGGGACAATCACTCTGTGCCCCTGTGTCCAGAGGAAGTGGGTAGCACTCACACCCTGAGAGGGCGTGTGGGGTAAGAACGGGGAAGCTGGTGCTACAAATACCCATGGGAGGTAGACCTTTACGGGCGTAAAGAACAAGAAAAACTAAGTTTTCCCCCACAACTTACCTAATACTTCTCATGCTACCAAGGCAGTCGTGGCTCTTTACCTGGCTTATTCTCTGGTTGCTGGAGTTTGATTTCTGAAGCTAGAAACACTGGGAAATCTATCATGGTAACAAACTGTAGCTTAGTCATTTCGATAGGTGAGGTAACAAAGTCCAGTCTGTTTTATTTCTAACCCAAATATTGCAAATATACAGAAAATTACCAGTACAAAGTTAAACACATCCAGATTTATTTACACAACGCTAATAAAGAAATTTAAGTTTGATTTCCATTTTGTGGAATTTTGCTATGGGGTCTGGCTTTGTTGTGTAACTGACATGGGTCACTGAAACTTGATTATCCCACCCCACATGCAATTTTCTGTCCCAAGGGAACAGAAGACTTGGGTTCTTAGCGTACATGCAGTAATGATGTTAGTACTGCTTTACACTTCAGTAGGAAGGCAGCTGTCCCACAGCTGGGAGAGGGGCAGAGAAGTTACAGGGCAGGGAGGGACCACATGCTCAGAAAGGGAACGAGAGACGAGAGAGGGCTGAACAACAGGCACATGGGGACCCTGAGCATTTCTGTGCATGAGGATAAGGAGGGTACGACCAAAACCCTCCTTCCCTAGACGTCCAAACACGGGAGGTGGGCAGGATCATCGGGGAACATTCAGGTCACCCGACCACAAACTGAGGGCATGCGGAGGATGAGGACTGCATGAAAGATTTGGGACATATCAATAAATCATTAACTTGTACACTATACAGATTATACATGTATATATGTACATATATATATAAAGGTACAGATTAGTTTGTTATTCTATATAAACAAGGATGCTTAAGAATGTACTGGTGTGAAAAAATGCATACAGCAAGTTGTTGAAGACAGTTTCAAATTAATGTTCTGACTCTTATTGTTATAATGCAACATAACCAAGCAATCAACATGCTCCTGCTATGTCAACTGGCCTCCATGAGGGCAAGGCCCAGCTCTGCTCAGGCAGGACGGTGCTCCCAGAGCTGCTGGGCACATGGGTGGCAGATGAAACAGAACGTCTGGCACCTGCTGAAGGCCAACGCTGAAGGTCTGGCCCTCCCTAGCACTCCGTCATGCGGCACATCTTACACTTTGGTTTTGTTCAAAGGACATTTAAGTCCATGTTTACCTCCCTGCTTGAGGCCAGATAAGTAGCAAAGTTGAAAAGCTGAATCTCCGATTTTAGCAGTTCCAAGTATCCAGGCTTCCTATGGGGCGAGGAGGATGTACCAACAATGAGCAGGAAGAGCTCCAAACCACTGCGTATAGAGGCAGGGTTCTTTAGGGCTCTCCCGGAGGATAAGAGGACCTTTCTACTTGGAGGATTAGCCTAGAACATAGAGAACTGACCGAAACTTCGGCCAGCCCTGCCACCCTGCACTCTTCTCTGTATCCGGGCCCTGTGACCAAGGCCATGGGAGAACCAGCTGTGGCTTAGAGAGCCAGCGCACGGGCTGGAGGTGGCCAGCCTGGTACCAAGGTGTCAGGGACGAAAGGCCAGCTTGGACATGGAGAGGCCCAGAGGCAAACCTAGGAATTAGAGAGGTATACACCAGAAAGCCTACTCAGAGGCAGATGCCAAATTCTAAATTTCAGTTATAGCTGATCTATTGAATCTCCTGAGCCCAGCTTAGAACAGCCAGAACCCTCCAGACATTTTTCTTCTCCTAAGTGGTGCCCCATTCAAATACCAGCCCAGGTGCACGTACCCTGGCCTCTAGAGTCGTTAAAAACCGAAAGCCCCTTTAGGTCCAAGACGCCCGTCACAGGTGAGGGATGGTGAGTTCTCCACCTGGATCTAAAAGCTCAGACCACTGGAGACTGCTATGTCCAACCTATCTTACAGTGCTCAATCCTATCGCTAAGACCTCCAGAAATCATCTTTTCTCCTACCATCAAGCCTGAGATTTTATACAATGATAAGCTACACTTTACTTTCAAAGATAGTGCTCCTAACCTAACGTCAGTAGAACAAATTAAAGATTGTTTTCTCTTCGAAGCTGTCATGGATTGAGGCGGTTATACTCTCTGGCTGAGGACATACATTTGTGAGTGAGCAGGTGGAGACAGGAAGCTAACCAGCCAATGAAGGGGGGGAGCCAGGCTTGTTAGCAGTCCTCCAAACAGCCGAGCCAGCCAGCCAGCCAGACGAGGACGAGAAAACAAGAAGGGAGAAGGGTGGCTCATCAAGGGAGAGCTCACTCCCGCAACTAGGTGAGGGGCAGTTTCTAAACACATATTCAAAATTCCCATTAATTTTTCTTTTTCAGCCATGAAAAAAAGAATAAAATTTTCTGTTTACCACGGTGGCAAAGAGGCGCTCCCTACTCCCACAGAGATGCCAGCGACCGACCCCTATCCTAAAGGACAGCGAGGACTCCGTACGCAAGGAGCCCCGCCTGCTCCAGGCCCGCAGCACCTGCACGCATAAAAACGTTGAAAAGCTCTGAAGACAGCCAACCAGCATTGCCCACGATGCACACAGGGACCTGGACAATTTACTCACTTTTTGTACCTCAGCTCCGTCTCCTGAAAAATGGGGACAAACCCCTGCCTTCAAAGAGAAAGTCTCACCGAGAATGTTGTAAGTTTCCAGGGACATAATGCCAAGAGAAAGTGCTCGGAAAACTGCCAAGTTCTACAGAAATCCCAGATACCCTTAGAAGCACAGCGCTCTCACCTCATTAGAGAAGATTAACTTTCCTACATCCTAAAACAAATCAGAGAATGACCACATACGGGCACATCTACCCCGGGAGAAGGTGTGCAGCAGAAGTGGGTCTTGGCTGGGCATCAAAATCACTTTGGGCAGGAGGTGAGGGTGTCCGGGAGAAAGACTGACGCTTTATCATTTGTGAGCTGGTCTATCTTTGGAATTTTTTTAAATTTAAAAACTGCAAAATGAATGAGCTTTTCCTAAAAGACCAGTGCTCTCTGGCTCGAACAAATACGAATTCTCCTCACAAAAACTGTCCTAGCTTTATTTCCCAACTGAAGCTCCCTGACTCATTTAGTTCAGCTGCAAGCTTCGAAGTCTCTAACCTTCTCCATCCACCCCCTCTCCCACTTTCCCTGCTGTTGCTAATCCATTCTGGGGAGGAGAGAATGCAGCCATCTGCTCACGCATTCTGACAAAAGTTGATTTGGCACGTTTACTTTTTTGTGACTTTATAGCCATAAAATGAACTAGCAGCAAAATGGCAGTTACCAAAGAATGTCCCAATCATAACTACTGGGAGAATCTGTGGCCAGCACAATAGGGACGCTAAGACCAAAAAATGTACTATACTACATTCCTGGATAGCAAATATTCAAGCTGTATTAAAATGAATTATTGCAGCTTTCCATTACTGTGTGGCCACCCAAAAATCAACCTCACCACATTCTATTGTTAACTTGATTTGAAAGAATGTCCAATGGAAAACTTCCTTAAAGTATGAACTTAATGCATCACATAAAACATCACCTACACTGGACGTGTGTTTTCAGTTGGTTCCGCCAGAAGTTTCCTGCCAACAAATTACTTGGCCAAGCTGGGAAAAATGGGTGAGGAGGAGAGCCTGGTAATAAAATCCTGATTTTTAAAAAACAGCCTATAAATCTGAAAACATGTCTAGTCCTGGCTCTGCATACAACAGCAGTCCAAGAGGAAGCAAGCACGTAAGCGGCCGTCCTAAGGATTCACCACCGTGCCCACAGGTGGCAGAGGACATGGAAGACTGTGATGTTCGGTCCTCAGGGGCCACCCCGGGCACCCTCCCTCGGCTCCAGCAGAGACACCACTCGGCCTGGGCAGACATCCAGGGCAAGCCCTAACCCTGTCCTTGAGCAAGTCCACTGGCACAAACACAAAGCATGGCTGGAAAGATCTTGGAAGAAGCACGAATTTGTCCTTTAATAGGTGCTAAATCTAGTCAAGTCCCTGCTGCTCCCTTCTTCCTGCCCCAAGTTAAAAATAGTGTCCTTTAAGTTTTCCTGATTTAGTGTCTTGGAAGCACATGGTTAAGTCAATTGCCAAAGGGCAATTAACAAGGGTATTGCCTAATTAAACGGGGGTGGGGGGGAAGAGACACCACTGTGGTCTATGGTCCCCAAAAAAGCAAGCAAGCAAGGCGGCGTGTGTGTGAGGGGCTGGCGTGCAGCGTTCTCGGGGCAGGGCCGGCCCTGGCCGGGGAAAGGGCGCCAGGCCAGGCCAGTCATTGCAGCCCCGAGTCCCCGTCGAGTCCCTCTCAGCAGCTGCTTCGCGTCACCAGCAGAGCCCGGGGACAGCACCGAGTACTTTGTGAGAGTTGATGCTGGGGTTGGCAGGCGCCATGCAAAACATGCAAGAGGGGGGTTAGTGAAACGTTCCCTTCCAATCCCATTTCATTTCCCTTACTAAACAAAAACAAAACCAAAAGAACCCATACTTTGCAAAAAGACAGAACTTGAAATAAAAAGTTAAAGAATTTAGTTCCCCCCCCCTTCTCAGAGCCCATCGTGAGAGTGTTTAGGGTCCCCACCCCCCTGCATGTCTTCAGCGTAGATCCTTTTGGCTTTGGTGGAAGCAGCAGAAACAGAGCTGGGCCCCTCGCAACGGGAAATTTATTCCCCCAAGTCGGCCGTGTGAGAGGTCCTGCGGTTCCATCATCTGTGCTTGGTCCCAGCTCCTTTGAGGAGCTATTCCAGGAGGTCCTGGGAAGAGAAACAGAGACCATATTATTTGCACACTAAAAAATTCCTCTTTTGAAAGTTATGGCCTGGTTTCCGGGCGGGCCAACTCTTACAGTCATTAAGTGCCTGCTCCTGGCTCACACCCTCCTCCGCCTCAATCGGATCTTGATTACGATCAGGGAAAGAAACACTCTTTTCTTGTACTTCCGGACCACCCCTCAAGAAGACATGGCCTCACCTCATCTGAGTCGTCGTGATAGCCACTCTTACGAGCGTGGGAGGCCGTGTCCAGGGCGTCCACGCCGTCCACACCGTTGGCCTCTGCGTGCTGCTGCAACACAGAGTAGCGATGCACCAGGAACCTGGGGAGGGAAACCTCCGTGACCCTCACGCGGCGAGCAGGCACACGACTCTGACAGCACTGTGGGCTTTCTGAGTTGTATACCCTCACAGCATGAGTCCCACACACGGCAGCACAGCCCATAGCTGGCATCTGGCAGACAGAAGCTTGGAGAAGTTCTGGGCTCGATGCTGCAGGAGCAGCGCTTCAACTAGCCAGTTTTTGCTAAGGGCCGACTCAACCACACGCCCTGGGCTGACTCTGTGGCTGGAATTCAGTACCTCTGACCGCCTTCCATGCTCCTTACCTTCCGCCACAGACGTACTTCTTCACAATGAGCACCCCTGCTATGACTGTGACCAGCATCAATCCCACGGTGGCCAGGATGATCGGAACAGAGTTTGACTTGGAGTTCTCGACAAATTAAAACACAGACAATTTCAGGTGTGCACGTTCTAGGACTGAGCTCCATGAGGCTGCTCCTTCCCCTGGTTTCTCAGTGAATGGTCTGCAGTCTCCAGTCCCCTCGTGCTTTCCCAGCCCCCTCAATGGACCGTCTCGGTGCTACCAGGAGCGCATCACCGATAGCGGAGGGGAACCAGAACGTCGGCTGCCCCGAAGCTGCCAGAATGGTCCAAACTCAGGGGCTCTACTGCCCAGGTTACCCTGGGAGCCTTGGCAGCGACCTAGGTCAAATAGCAATTGAGGCTGTTCTCTGCTAGTCGTATGGAGTTGTGGAGCACTTAGGGGTGCGGCAGGAAAGGGAGAGCATGAGAACAGTGGGCCGAACAAATCTGCAACAGGGCCAGCACCTGGGAAGGAGCTGGGCCAAAGCCGGATCAGGTAGGATATCGTGCAACACAAAGACTCTTGTTTTTACTTCATTTCTGGCATGTTTTTACAAATAAGCCTTTTCATATCATTGTTGGAGTAGGACCTAACCTGCTGCAGGGTGGGAGATAGGGAGTGTGTTTTCAATGAATCCAAGAGGAGGCAGACCTGGGTTCTGGGACATGCTGTGTCCCTGGGCGCGGGAGTCCTGTGCAGACACACACACACACACACACACACACACACACACACACACACACACACTGAGGACAGCCACCAGGAGTGCAGGGTCGGGTGCAGAGAAGAGGGAACTTGCCCCCTGACAAGAACACACACCCACACACCCACACATTCTGCTCCCGCTACCTTCCTAATCCCGCCCATGTCAGGCCCTCATCCCTTAGAAGGCCAGAGAGGATGGGACAGCGGATTGTCCAGCTCCCATTTTATGGATTAGGAAACTGGGGCCCACAGCTGACTGCCCCAACCACACTGCTGGTCCAGTGCTTCTTTATCAAGAGGTTTCCTCTTCACCATTTTCCACATCCTCGCCAGACAGTTCAGTACTACAGAGCTGTAATCAGCCCCGTAACTTGCTCCCACATCACAAACCCATTGCTATCATAGTTCAGTTGTCCAGTATGAATGCAGTCGGCATGACTCAGGCCAGAGCCCACCTGAACGATGGCCCAGGGCTCCTCTCTTCCCACCCTTTACCGCCCGACTTCAAGTCTTTTCCGTAAATGACTCTCAGCCCCAGAAATGTCCTCAACCCGATGCTCCCAAGATTCGGAACAATTTTATGGAATTCTATTTTGTTCCCCCAATGAAAAAGTTTTTAGTAGGGAGTGTATCATCGTGTGTGACCCATCCTCCATCTTAATGGTTTCCTGTGCACAGCGAAGCCTGCCCGAAGTAGTCTGGCCACTTTGTATTCAGTAATAAAATTCTTAATGCTGTCCCTTTGTTCCTGGCAGAACACGAAATCCCACTGGTACCTAAACCAGATCTACTTTAGCATACCTGCTTTTCAGGACTCAGAAAGTTGCTTGTGCATTTCTTTTTCAAGTCTTTTACTTCTCGGACTGGATTCACACCACCTTGGCATCTGTCTCCTGGAATTTTTCGGTACCTGAAAAGGCAGAGACAATTTGTTATCAGACCATTAGGTGTATTCCTGGACTCTTGCCTCGTTCCTGAAAACAAGATTTGAAAAGCTGCAGAAAAGCTTCTCAAACTTCCACCACCTTTCAGGCCTGAGGGGAGAGCCACAGGAATGTTTTGGGGATGTTTTGTGTAGTTTCAGGCCTTGAACAGACCAAGCATCCCTGGCCTTGGGGCAGAGGCATGCCCACCTTTCTGCCTTAAGAGATGGGGCCAGAGAACTGACCCAAAGAAAGCACGTCAACACGTGGTACAAAAATGGGAGGGGGGAGTATTTGTCGGAGGGGGGTACTGTGTCCCCTCCAGAGCGGCACTGCCTAATACAGTGGCTACTTACATTTAAACTACGTAAAATTAGTTCAGCGCCTCAGTTGCCACACAGGGTACTGGCTACCATATCAGACACAGCAGATGAGAGGGCATTTCTGGTGCCACAGAAAGTTCTGTTAGATAGTATTTTCCTAGCATGCTCTAGAAGACTGCCTGCACAGAGGCGTGGGGTGCTGTGAGTGGGGGCTCACTCTGCACGTTGAGGACACGCCTGTCTCGATTCAGGAGGAGAGCCGCCTCACCCATTTGTCGTCAGGTGCTCCTCTCTGCCATACAGACAAAATTCCAGATCGTGGCCCTTCAGTTCTGGCTGTTCCACACATTTGGAGTCATTTTCTGGACGGAAGTAGCCAAAATCACTGTAAGAGTCAGCAAATAAAGTATCTTTCAGAGTTGCTGAAAGACAGTGAAGTGACTAGTAATGAAGGTTTTATGTGGGGCAGGAGCAGATTAATATTCTAGTCTTTGGTCGCACGGAAGCAGCTCAGTGTCATCTGTAACGAAGGTCCACTTAGGAGGACAGACATGGAGAAGGTTTAACTGGGGGACCAGGGGCTTATGGAGCAGGCCAGTGGACTTGGGACTCGGTAGCAAGGAGCCCTGCCCAGACAGCAGCGGCTCCAGGAAGGGACCGACGGCAGCAGGGTGGGGACTCGCGCACTGAGAACTAAGACACTGAGAAGCAGTGGCACCAGTGACAGATCTAAACCCACGGCGCTTAGTCATCTTTTTATTTACCTTCAACTCACTCACCGTTATGTTCTCTGGTGGTGTACCCTAGGGTGTATGTCAAATCTTTCCTACCTGCCCCATTTCTGTCCCTCTTAGCTTCTTAGATGATCCTTGTCTCCAGTGTGAATGCCTGTCCTGCCCTCCATCCTATCCTCTCTCCACAGTGCTTTTCATCGGCTCTCCTTTCTCTGCTTCCCCCAAGAAATAACACGCTGCCTCCTCTCCAAGGCTGACCCCCTACGTGAGCATCCTTGGCCCATCCCTCTGACTGCCCAGGGACCTTGCTTGGCTGACCGTGTGGAGGGACCATCAGGCCCACTCACCTGGGGGCTTCTCCTTAGCCTGTGCATATCCTCTTCCTTCTCCCTCTTCTTCTTCACTGGCCAAACTTCTTAAAAGAATATTTCGTATATTTTGTACTCGTTCTGTTATACTCGTTTACTTTTTATTCTGCGCATTTTGGCTTGAACCCCCTCTACGACGTTGGAGACGAACATCTGAGGCCCCTGGGACACGCTAGTCCCGCAACCTTGGGGGGCCCTCTCCAGCCTGGCCTCTGCTGTGGCACCTAACGCGCCGCCTGTGCCTGCCCACACCCCCGCAAAGCTGCGCTCACCTGCTCCTCTCTGCACAGTCTGTGCCTCCATCTTCCTAACCTGGAAACGCAGACCCTTGCCCCCATCTGCAGTTTGTTCTCTTACCCTCCATCTGCTCTCCCTTCGTGAGCTTAACTATTTGTTGCAGCTAAAACTTCCAGGTTTTACCTCTCTTGAGCTGTGGTCCTACGTTTCCAAGTACCTGCTGGATGTCAGCACCTACATCTGCTGACAGAACCTCAAATAAATAAAGCATACAAAACACATCATGTATTCTCTTTCGAGCCAGGCTCTCCCATCATTTCCCTGTGTCTGTCCACGGCACTACCTTCCTTCCACTATTTGAGCTGAAAAGTCAGCCTGGGCCTGCCCCATCTGCACCCTGCTCACCTCTTTATCGCGACCGCTGCGACTTCCCCTCACGGCCTATCTCCCAGCACACCCTTCCTGAGCACGCTGGTGGGTATCTGTGCTCGCACAGGTCCACTGGCTTTAACGACTTGTTTCTTCCCAGATGTGCAAGGTCAAGTCCCAGCGCTCAGCTCAAATGCTACCTCCTCCACAAAGCCTTCTCTGAGCCACCTCCTTTCAGCTCTCGATGGGATGGCCTTTCCCTTCTCTAAATCCCCAAGGCACCGTTTCACAGCCTAAGTCTGTGCGTCTGACCAGGAGCGGCAAGAACAAACTTTCCGTTGTCACTGCACTGCCCTGCATGCAGCAAGTATGCAACAGACGTGTGGGGGACACAAAGATGCTGCTCGTGCTTCAGGGTTGTTCTGGCAAAGACATAGGGAGCAGGGTAAGAGAACAAAAGATGCCGAAGACACCACCCTTCCAACGGGGGGAAAGTTCTGGTGAAAATCTTAGGTATGCGATCCCACCTGTTGGGGAAGTGCCCTTCCTACTCACAATTACACACTTCTCAAGCACGGGCGGTACAGCGTGCAGGCTCCGGGGCCGAGCTTCCAGCTGAGCCGCTGCGGCCAAGGGAGTGACGACCTCCCTGAACCTTTGTTCCTCCCTTGGTGAGATGGGAATGGCAACCGTCCCTATCTCAGAGGGCTGCTGGGGGTAAACGTAAATGGCTCAGGACAGTGCCTGGCACAGAGAGAGCGCTCGGTAAATGTCAGGGGCTAGCGTGACTACGATGTGATTATCAAATATAATATGCCCTTGAGGAGTCGGGAGTGTAATGGCGGAGCCAAACCTGTCCACGATAACCAAAACAGCAACAGGCGTCCTGCAGGAGCCCAGATGAGGGAAAGCTGGGGAAGGCTTTCCGGAGGGGAGAAGTGAGCTAAGTACTAAAGGCCAAGCAGGAATCCCCCAAGCCTGGGGCCCGAGCAGAGAATGTGGGAAGACTCCCCGGGCAGAGGAAGCCCCATGTACAATGGCCGCAGCTCTGACGAAGCACATCGGGTCTGGAAAGCAGAAGGCCGGGTAGTTAAGAGCCCAGTCTGTGCGCCATCTAGGATGAAGACAGCCCACTAGAGTGTCACAGTGTCAACAAGCTCTAGCCCTAGACTGACACCACAGCCATCAGAGGGATCCCGTTCCCCATGGAAACACAGAGGGGGGCACCCCGGCCCATTCCACATGCACATGTGAGCCACACGGTGGGGGGGGGCACACCCATCAGCCTGGGGGGTCGTCAGTCCCATATTCCCAGTTCTACAGAATGTCATGCGAGAGGACACGACCGCTGTCTGTCTGCATTCTTTTCCAGATCCTCCAGGATGCACCTTTACTTCCTGCCAGTGTGTTTTGCAAGAAACGAGTTCCATAAGATTACTGGCTGTGACAGGAAGCAGTATCCCGCTTGGAGACCTGGGGACAGCCTTGCCCTTAGACAATCCACTAACTCCGTGCCGGCCGTGCACCTGACCCTGCAGCCCAGATGGTCCTGAACTCGAGGGAGTCCACCTCGATGGCCTCTAGATTTGATGGGACATCTGGATCCTCAGTACCCCGATGTCCCCTCCTGTCTCAGGACAGAACCGCACTCTGCCTTCAGTCTTGCAGACAATCTGAAACCTAGTGCCCTACCTGCTGAACTCAGGCTGTCAGTGTTTAGTGAGCACACGGAAGTCCAGCCTCCTCCCGGCTCCTGCACTGCCTTTCCCGGGGATTTCTTCCCTATTGCCTCCTCTCTGGGTTTCTGAGTTCTCTTCCTCCTTACACACCTCTCCCCCTTGCTGTCAGGCCAGGATTCCTGGGGGTTGTCACCGGCCCTGTCCAACAATTGACTGCCTGGTGTGATAGCTCACCTGTCCCATTACTAATCACTTTGGATCCCTTCTCTGTGCCTCCATCTCCTCAGTAAGCAGCAGTAGCTCTCCGCCCTCGGGGCAGAAAGCCCTATAAGACAGCTGCCTTTCACCTCCTCCCGCACAGCCAAGGGGCTAACAGGGATCTGAGGGACGCGGATACCAGAGGAAGTCCTCCAGGGAGCAGGGACAGACGGACGGCTGCTTGGTCACCACATAATCCCGACCATTCTGGCAGACGGACGACTTGCGAAGCCGCAGGTACTGTTCCTTGTAGCCCAAGATGCAGCCATCTCCATAATCTCCAGGGTCTGCGGAGTGAGCCAGCCATATGGTATAGTCCTTCTCCTCACCTAAAGAGAAGACAGGCTGTCCAGGTCCCCACCTGGCCCCGCACCCACGCGCGCGAGGCGGCTGCCGGGCGGAGAGCAGAACGAGGAGGGGAAACGGGGATGTCTGACTCATGCTACTGCTTCATTTGGGAACTGCAGACAAAAGTTGCAGGACTTGGCGCCTACTAGCCGCTGGCATCTCCTCATGCCACAGGAGGGTTCTTTGCGTCTCACCGCCCGTTTGAGTATTAGGAAGAACCTTATTTGTTCCAAAGTGGGCAGCTGGATGGAGCAGCTCTAAGCTTCCTTCCGAGCAGAGGGGCTGCTCTCTCCATGTCTTGTGCACCTGTGCTCTTGGTCAGCAGGGGCTGCCACAGGTAAGCGACCAGGGGTTTCCTTTTAGGACAGGATACCAGTTAGCCAAAAGCATGGGTTCAATTTCACCAAGGGTTAGCTTGCCTCAAACAGAAGGGAAGACCATCTCTTTCTAGACTTTTTACTCTAGTCGACTGGCTTTCAAGTAGACTGGTGATGACAGTCAGTCTGGCTTCGTAAGTCGTATCACCCACTCCTGGAAAAATGACTCAAAGGCTACGGCCTAAAGACTGTGGATTAGGTTTTTATCCCTTGGAATCTGAAGACCAGCATGGAGCCTGTTAAGAAGCAGGTGCTTACCAAATCTTTTAATGGCGTTAAACTTTAGGGATAACTGCAGAGCTGCCTTACGAGGGGAAAACTCATAAGCCAGCTCCTTTACAGCCTACTTGATGAATCTGGATAATGATGACTCTCGGGTATTAAATCATATTTAAACACCCTGTAGAAAAGTAAGGTCCAAATGGAGTGCTCTGCTTCCTCCAGGAGTCACTGAACTAACCTTCTGAGGAAACTGACCCATCATACACTCGAATAACAGGACCCCAATTCAACCACAGGGACTTGAAACCTGAAGTCTTTTGTCAGAGCACACCAACAAGAAACTGCAGCTCGCAGGGCAGGGGCCTTTTCTCTAGTTTTCTATTTTATCCTCCATATTTTTCAGTAAAATGTCAGCATCTTTGGTACTGGGGCCTGGGTTTGCTTGGGATTCTTTTTACCTCCTTTTCTGAAGCCGTTTTCTGTGTCTTTAACATGCCTTCCAGACTGAAGTCACAGAACTCTGAAACGGTCAGTGTGGGCGCCATGCTTACCCAGTTGCCATTTTAGAGCCTCACCGTGACATTCAAGCCAAAATTCTGCGTGAAAACTTTCTTACTTCAACGTTTTCTGTTGTTTTTTTTTTTTTTTTCACGTCAACGTTTTGATAAGGGACACAATCAGTCAGTTGCTCTTTGCAACACGCTTTCCTCTAAAGCTTTCTCTTCACGGTTCTTCTACAATCAAGGGTGAAAACCCCTGAAATGTCATGAAATAATTTTAGACAAATGCAAG